TATCGATCTTCGCAATTCCGTCGCTACTGCTCGCCATATTGACATGGACAGAATGAAAGAAACTTGAATAACAAATGCGCATATACATTTTCAAATCTGGCGCTTCCCAGTCAGAGAAATTCCATATAAAGCATAATTCACCTGCTGCGTTGGTTAAATTTTCTCCAAGCGCCATCTTACTTTGTAAATGTACTACCGCAGCTCAATCAACGTGGGCGCAATAACAAATCCAGATTCCTTCTCGAGCTCGCTTGCCTTTCCGCATTCTCGCATGCACAAATTATCCGTTTCCCTTCCTTTGAGCATCTGTTGCTCAGGCTACGGTGAGGGTCAAGAGTCACGGTAAAGAATGAGTTGCGTGTAATGGTTGTTTTGTTTTTTAAGCGGAGCCAAGTTTTCTCTGCCTAGGGGAGGGTACGTCTACATGTAGTCATCGAAGGCCAGGTTGCGTTTGTTAGCACTAGTGTGGTTGAATCGTGGAAAGCCTTNCAGAGAAATTCCATATAAAGCATAATTCACCTGCTGCGTTGGTTAAATTTTCTCCAAGCGCCATCTTGCTTTCTAAATGTACTACCGCAGCTCAATCAACGTGGGCGCAATAACAAATCCGGATTCCTTCTAGAGCTCGCTGGCCTTCCCGCGATCTCGCGCGCACGAATTATCCGTTTCCCTTCCTTCGAACGTCTGTCGCTCAGGCTACGGTGAGGGTCAGGACTCACGGTAAAGAATGAGTTGTGCGTGAAGGGGTTTTTTTTTTGCGTGGCCTACGTGTGGCCGTACTCTCCCCTAGGCGGAGCCAAGTTTTCTCCGCCTAGGGGAGGGTACGTCTACACGTAGTCATCGAAGGCCAGGTTGCGTTTGTTAGCACTAGAGGAGTTGCAAGTGTGGTTGAATCGTGGGCCTTACTTGGGATACGATCCTATTGTTCATCGTTGTTGTTTGGAGTTATGTCAAATAATAGGTCAATTAATTATAAGAGAACATTCTCTCTTATTTTCCCTGCAAACTGGCGGACAAAATGCAACTTACAAAGCCAAAGTACAAAAAAGTACAACCCTTGAACTTCGACAGATTTCCTGTGACATTGAGTCGAATTACAAACTACCCATTTCCGAAGACTGGCACATTTCTCAAATGTCAGTGGAGCTGTTTTCAATGCCGCTATGTCTGAACCAGATAAACCGCTAAAATCGAAAGTAGATAGGTATTTTT